GGCACTATCAGGGGAAGAATCGAGGAGGAGCAGGATGAGGAAGAGGAGGACAAGGAGGACAAAGAGGGAGGAGGAGGGAGAAGAGGACAACTGCACTGAAACTTTTAAAACAGTGGAGCAGGACTGATAAAGAACCGAGGTGTATGCGTCCATGGGTTAGACTGGACACCAGTCATATACACCAGGAAGGCACCTGAATCTTGCCTTCTCTCAGGATTTTCCAGCAACCACACCAATACCTCTCTCGTGCTTCCCAAATCCAATGAGCCGCCAAACCGATTCCACTAACAACCAGCAAGCTAGCTGGACTTCCTTTGCCAGTGCACTTGGAGCTTTAATGTCAGGTAGCACTGATGTAACAGACTCCTGAACTGTCTCCCTCTCTCCAGCCTTGCCCTGAACAATACTCTGTTGGAAAGAGCCAGAGTGACCTCTCTATTGGGCCAGCCTGAAATGCCTTTCAGCTCAGCAGGCAACTCTTCCTCACTTCAGCCCTTCTATAATAAGGGTGTGAATGATAACCTGGAATGATGTTTCAACCACCATTTCCAAGTGTCTAGGGATTCTTCTTTTTGCATTCTATAACTGGTTTCTAATTTGATTCCATCGTGGCCAGGGAACACTCTGTGAGATTTCAATTCTTCATTTTTTCATTTATATTTATTTTATATTTAATTTAATTTTTTTTTTTTTTGCGGTACGCGGGCCTCTCACTGTTGTGGCCTCTCCCGTTGTGGAGCACATGATCCAGATGCGCAGGCTCAGCAGCCATGGTTCACGGGCCCAGCCGGTCCACGGCATGTGGAATCTTCCAGGATTGGGGCACGAACCCGTGTCCCCTGCATCGGCAGGTGGACTCTCAACCACTGGGCCACCAGCGAAGCCCCTATTTTTATATTTTTTAATATATTTATTTCTTTATTTATGGCTGCGTTGGGTCTTCGTTGCTGCACACGGGCTTTCTCTACTTGCGGCGAGCGGGGGCTACTCTTCGTTGTGGTGCCCGGGCTTCTTGTTGCGGCGGCTTCTCTTGTTGCGGAACATGGGCTCTAGGCACGCGGGCTTCAGTAGCTGCGGCACGCAGCCTCAGTAGTTGTGGCTCGAGGGCTCTAGAGCACAGGCTCAGTAGTTCTGGCGCACGGGCTTATTTGCTCCGCGGCATGTGGGATCTTCCTGACGTTGGCTCAAAACTGTGTCCCCTGCATTGGCAGGCGGATTCTGAACCACTGCACCACCAGGGAAGTCCCTCAATTCATTTAGAATTTATTGAGGTTTTTCTGATTGTCGAGGAGATGGTTTAACTTGGTGAATGTTACAGAGACCCTCGGGGAAAAACCTGTACTCTGCTGTTGGTGAGCGGACTGTTCTCTTTATGTCATGCAGATCTCGTTAGTTTACTGTGTTATTCAAGTCTCCTATATCCTTGCTGATTTTCTCTCTAGTAATTCTGTTACTTGCTAAGAGGGAGGTGGGTGTGGAAGTCCCCCACTATAAATATAGATCTAGCTCTTTCTCCTTTCAGCTCCACCCGTTTTTCCTTCGTGTACTTTGAGGCTCTGTTGTTTGGTGCGTACACATTTAGGAACTTTATGTCTCCCTGGTGTCCTGATCCTTTCATCATTCTGTAAGGCCTCTCTTTGGCTCTTGCTCATTTTCTTTACTCTGACATCTACTGTACTGGATACTGAAGCTACAGCCACGCTTAGAAAGTGTCCTGGTTATATCTCACCTTGTCTTCACTCCTAGGAGTTGTGTTGCTGTTCACCCCTCCGCCCACAAATTCTCCCCTCCAACATATCTAATTCACCATGCGAAGAGATGTGGAAGCCTTTTGGCATGTGCAGAAATAAGATAGTGTCAATTCTCTCTCCTTCTTGGGGCTTTTCCAGTTATGAAGTTCTGGAGATGAAAAGAGGGAGGTTGGGATGCAGATAAGGAATTGGACTGACAGTTCCTGCCACATGGTACACACACAGTACACATTAATAAATGAATGAGAAGCAGGATAGAAACTACACATATGCTCTTTTAGTCTTTCTATACACATCTGAATGTTTCAAAGTAAGTTAAGATCACACTGTACTTGGTTTTTTCCAATAGACTTTGAGGAAACTTTTCACTTCTGTTTTTAAAATATGTATTTTCCATTGAGGGGAAAAAGAAAAATGTGTAGAAAATGGAGAGCGATGCCACCTGGTGACCAGAGTCAGAACTGCAGGTGTAAAAGTCTGAACTGGGGCCTTGGCA